CTCCAGTAACAAACCCTTAACAGATTAAGGGCCCAGGGAGAGTGGAACAAGATCGAAGGGGGTTTTAAGGAGCTTCTAGTGGACATTGAGTGAACAGCTTGGAGCAAAGTGACAATAGAAATCTCGAAGAGAGTTTTACGTGACTAAGTAACCGGAAAGTCAATGAGTAAGGAGCTAGTTTAGCAAGACAAAGCAAATAAAATTGCGCGTTGACAATAGGCAGAAGGCATGAGCAGTAGGAGCCCTAGCACCACAGCTTCTCTTCGACGGATCTGAAGATAAAGTATGACGCTTTGGAAACAAGATCCTGAGGCACTTACGATGGATCTGAAGCGGAAAGCACTATCTAATACTGAAAGGTTAGGAGAGTGTGTGCGGAAGACAACAGTGGAAACGGAGGAAAAGTGGGAGTGGGGAGAAAAGTTTTGGTGTTGGAGCAGAGAAAGCTTGAGCGTTAATAAACAGAGAAGAAGTTGTAAAAAAAGATGTGACTGAGAGCGAATTGTTCAACGAAAATGAAATAAGATAATAGATAAACAATAATATAACAAGGATAAATGAATGAAAGCAACAACAAAAGCGGGTTTACAACCTATGGATGAAAATAATACACTGGGGGTTCCATTGCTAAGTGTAATTCCGTCTGCATTTGGGGTCGTGATTCCTGCGCCTTACTCCCACCAGCCCACAACCTTTAACATGCATATTAATCAGTGAACTGACCTCAGGCCTCAGTTAACAGTGGTGGACTCTCCAGAAAACACACAGCAGCTTCACTCCTGAATCCGCAGCTTGTTGTGCTCAGTCCAGCTCTTCAGATGGGAGGGGTTGGACTTCGAGCTGAGACAAGTAGATCCAGCTGATCCTGAAAAACGCGCCCTCAATCTGAATAAGAGAAAAAATGAAAGAAAATAAAAAGAAGACAAAGTTCCTGCTTGACAATCATTCAGTGTTAAATAATCATGTCAGCAGCTGAAGAAGGTGTAGAATGTACAGTTTAAAATGGAAACTCAAACACCTCCAAACAGGATGGCAGGTTGCAACACTGTAAGAACAAAGAGTGAGAAGAGCTCTCATCAATATGTTTCTAAAGACCTCCAAATATGGAGGATGAATGTTTCAGGAAAATTGGAAAAAAAGTGAAGTGGAGTCATAAGAAGAAGCAGCTATCACTTTAGGACAGCTATTCATCATGTCTATCAGAATTCTGAAATAAGGTTTTAAGAAAGAATAATTGCTTCTGTGTCTCTGACGAATGCAGATCCAGTCCATCAAGGTCTCCACGCCAAGGGCCTTAGCACCCCTGAGCAACAACCAAATCACATAAAGTGGTGCTAGTAGTTCACTGGGCCAGGCAGGAATTCAGCCTATAAAGCCTGACCCAAAGCCCCGTTACACTGGGCTCTCCAGCCCTGAGATACCCTTCGTGCTCCAGGGAAGTCTCAACAAAGGGAAGGGGGTGCAGCCTCGTTCCCAAGAACTCCGTGTGGATCAGTATAATGAGGTCAGCCTTATGTCTGGCACTGTTTGCAGCACAACTTTCACATCAGAGTTCATCTCAGCACAGAAGGAAAAATGGTGCTGACCTCAGAGCCCAGGCTCAGTGTGACTAATCCAGAGAAACCACACAGCAGGTTCACACCTGAATCCTGGCAGCTGTTTGGTAACCCAGGTCCAGGCTCTCTCAGATGGGAAGGGGTTGGACTTCAGAGCTGGAACCGAGATAAGTGCACAGCTGATCTCTGACAAACTGCAGCGAATTAACTGAATAGAAAGAATAAATTATGTTATAAAAATCTACTTATATACAATGTAAGACATGCTCTGGTTTTAATGTGGTAACATTAACTATGTACTAATCAATGAGCTTTTCTCTAAAATGAGTAGTGACTAGTCATTGGTGGTGATTGTATATCATAAGTCGCACAAATTCAATACACCTATCATGTCAACACTGATCAATAGCAGCAGCTGATCTGATCTGAATGATTTAAGATTCCACTCGAGCCATGCTGGTCTATGTAAGAGTGAATTTTGGGAAAATGGGAAAAACACACTACTGTTCCTAATTCGTTTTAGGCAATAGACTATTTTTATGTTTATATGGATCCTGTACCCCGGGCTTCTGATGCAGGAATTATAAATACAGTAAATCGTACGACATCCTTGTTCACCAGTGCTGCAGCAGCAACGCAGGGCAGAGCTATTGGGTGGACCGAAGCAGCCTCAGCCGTGAAGTCGTCGTCCTGTAGATAGGTTATACAGCTCGCCAGAGCTTGGCAGTGTGGTGAAATGTATAACGTGGTTAGAATGACCAAGAAGACTCTTTTGGAGAAAAAATACTGGCAAATCCGATCATAGGTGCTTAAGATAGAGAGAAAACCAGTAAAAATTATCTCCACATCTGATTCCCCTTGTTTGTTTCCTCAAACCTACCAGGACCCGTTTCCTTTGTCTCCTCTGATTCCAGGTACAGAAATTAATCCCAGCGATTGTATCCCTATTGTGTGATTGAATTGTGTGGAAAAGTTGTTCTTATCATATTGTATGGTAGGTCAAGCTTGGATGGTGAATATTTTCATATATATGGATAATATTGAGACATGGCAGCCATCCCAGTGTTTAAAGTGTAGATCAACAATTGCTCTGCACAGTCAATGGACGGTCTTATTAATCTCAGCACAGAAGAAAAAATGGCGTGACCTCAGAGTCTCCAAGTCTAACAGTGTGGACTCTCCAGAAACACCACAGCAGCTCACTCTGAATCCTGCAGGTTGATGTGTTACTCAGTCCAGCTCTCTCAGTGGGAGGGTATGGACTTCAAGAAAGTGAGAACCAAGATAATCACACTGATCTCTGAAACTGCAGAGACTCATCTGAATAAAGAATAAATGAAAAAATAAAAATAAAGTTATAACCAATCAGATGTGTTCAGGTTTTAAATGTGTAGTTCAACATAACTATTAACTAAAAAATTTACTAATCAATGAGCTTTTCGAAAAAGAGTGGAGTGACTTGTCAGTGTTACTTAAATGCATTGGGTCCTATTCTCCAAAGGTTTACTCCCACCAAGCCAACAACACTTAGACGTATATTAACAGTGAGACTGACCTCGAGTCTCAGTCTACAGTGGTGGACTCCAGAAAACACAACACAGAGCGTTCACTCCTGAATCGCTGCAGCCTATGAGACTCAGGTCCAGCTTTCAGATGGGAGGTTGGACTTCAGGCTGAGACCAATAATCAGCAGCTGATCTCTGGACAAACTGCAGCCCCATAATCGAATAAGTATAAAAGATGTAAGTTTGAGGACAATGTCTGCGATTGAAATAATTCAGGTTAATAATCTGTTCAGAGCTGAAGAAGGTTTAGAATGTACAAGTTTAGAAAATTGAAATCCAAACACCGTGAACCCAAAAAAGGATGCAGGTTGCAAACGTCGAAAATCAAGAGTGAAAAAAGCTCTCATAAATAAGCGACTTGGAGGGGGACGTAGCAGCTGTCTCAGGAAATCTGCCTCAGTAACATTCCCTTCAAGGAACACATGGAAGCTCTGCTGGCTGTAAAGTTTTTGGAAGAGGAGTCAAACGGACAAGGAGAGTCTGGTGTTCAGGGCTGAGTGACGGCAAGGTGCCAGGCAGAGGAAAGAGCTCTGCGGAAGTGGAGTCACGACTCTGAATGGAGTAGTGACCCATTAGAGCAGGCTGGGGAATCGTCAACAAAGGTAAGTGAATAGTACACAGAGGAGAAGAAGACTGATTCGAGGAGGACGTAAGAGCTGCAGTGGAGTTGACAGTCAGTAGAGTCAGCAGGGTGGGAGCAAGCCATGGACGAAAACATCAGTTCCTGAATTCGGTGATGGGAGTAGTGACCCATTGAAAAAAAAAGCAAAAACAAAATCAAGAATAGAGTGTATGCACAGCCCAAGCAAAGCCTCTTTACCTGGGTCAAAATTCAAGAAAACTTCTCTGCAGCAACCAGGAAAGAGCAAATTTGACAAAGAAAGAATAAACAGGGTATTTTAGACAAAGTTTGTCTGTGGTACTTTCTCAGAGGTGATAACTTTTTCTGACCAAACTCGTAGCCACTCTTCCTGACCTGCGTCACCTGACATCCCCTCCCAACGACATCACACGTGTTTCATCAGCCTTTCTGTCCCAGGGTCCAGCAGAGTGTCCAGCATATTTGTGCCGAATAGTTCCTGTCTGCATTTGGGTATTCCTCGCGGTCTACTCCCACACAGCCACAACACTTTAGACACAATTAATCAGTGGAACTGACTCAGAGTCATACAGTCACAGTGTGGGGACCTCCAGAAGAACCACACAGCAGCTTCTACTGAATCTGCAGCTGTTGTGACCAGGTCAGCTCTCTCAGATGGGAGGGGGTTGGCTTCAGAGCTGAGACCAGATAATCACAGCTGATCTTTGACAAACTGCAGCCATCAATCTGAATACAAAATAATGGAAGCAGATAATAACCAATTTCTAATCAATCAGAACTGTGTAATGCTTCTACAGAGCATCATCCAAATGTCAGCATAACATCATACACCTATTCATGTCGCACTGATCAATAACATGCTGCTGTCTCAGTCGAATTAAAAGGGATTATTTTCATATTTATCATGTTGCTAAAAGAATGTCAATTATTTTATTATTAATGGCCGTCTTACGTTTGGAAGTTTTGAGAGGTAGGATGTATAGAGGACAGAAGTTGGGAATGCATGGAAGGCAAAGATCTGCTGCCTTCTGCTTACCGAGATGAGAGAGAACAAAGAAATGTACACGAACAATGTAAAAATTCTTCCCAAATAGATTTCGGCATTTTAGGATATTCTTTCACGCGATGTTGTTCAAGTTTCATTTATTATCAGTTTGGTTTTAATAGTATTTGAAGCTATAACAATCATATATGATGACAGGAGCTGCTTGTGATTGAGTTGGGCAGGTCCAATACACGAGCACAACCAATCA